GACTTTAACTAAATAAACATAAACACTTATACCTTAGATTATATAGATAGAGCATTGAGCTTCAAAAACGGGCCAACTTTTTGTCAGCTAACTGTCAAATTAGCTGACTCGTTTTGTTTATCAATGTTCTTACAATGTATACAATATACGTCAAGGTATCTATATTTAATTATTTAATAATAAAAAATGAGTTTTTACGCATTAAAAAAAATTTAAAAGTTATAAGACAAAATAAATATAGCAGTTATAAAGGAGTCGGTCGTAACTATTTATCACGCAAAATTGTATGAAAAAGTTGACCCGCTTTTCACGAAGCATTTATATGGAAACACTCGTATCTATATAATCTAAGACTCATACATACAAATGTGAATTGAATAAAAATCTTATAATATTAACTTCTTAAATTGGGGGCCTTATTTAGCTTTACCGCCCCGGGCCTCTGACGGGCTTAATCCGCCCCTGGTTTTTTATTTAAGAACTTTTGGGTAACTACTTACTATTGTCCCACTTTTATTTCTGCTGTGAAGCAGCTATACTTGCATTGCTGTTTCGGTTTAAACGGTGGGTTAAGGCAGTAAAATTAAAGAGTATAATATCATAGTCCTGGGGGAAGGGATTGTTAGTAATAAAGCCTAAGACTCGTTGCTAGCAATATAGCCTATCAGGACAATCTCCACGCGGTTCCCGCTAGAAACTAATATATTTATTTTTTGTCAAATTTGACATTTTTTTTATACCACTGAGGTGGCAAACAAGCATACGGTCAACCTGATAGTAAATGTTTACCGTAGCCTATTAACACCTGCAATACCAGAGGAATTACGCGCGCGTTGCCGACCTCGAAGAAACCTCTTTACCCCCCTTCCGAAGAACCCCATGCTGTAGTCTCTTAAGAAAACCTCGGCATATAGCATGATAGGTCAACTGACCCGCTTTCATCCTCATCTATCATCAACCACTAGTACCCTACCAATGTATACCGATAGCGCAAACGGAGTGATACCGTTTCATTTTCACCCATTAAAATATCGTAATTCTCAGGAATGGCAACGCATTAAGTGTAGCATCACCCATGCTAGTGTTTTCACTGGGGTCCATGGTGTTATACAAGTCTATAGACAACGGTTTCTTTCCATTAGAACTATCAGCTCGATTGTCGTTTTAAATTGTTTAAATTTTTTTTTTATTTTTCAATTTTTTAGGGAAACAATTTCGTGGACATATAAATAAATACTCTTGCAATAACATTAATTAATGAAGTTTCCATAAAAAAAAATTGATATATTATTTAAACGAGAGCAGATGAGAAGAAAGTGAGTGATAAATTTTTATCCTAAGAATCTATATTTATTATTATATATTATTATAAATATGGTATATAATATAGTATATATCATATATGTGTAAGTATACTTGTTATTCATATATATATTTATTCGTTTATATATGTAATTCTAGTATGTATGTATATCAATAATAAGTAGTACCGCATTCGAGTATTCTGACACTTCTCTATGGTTGACTGGGAGAGTATGCTTTTAGCATTAAGTCCGCCATATACACTTATTTGTACTAATGAATAAATAAAATAAATAATAAAAATAAATACATAATATAACAAAAAGAGAAACATTTTGAATTTTATAACCGTTTGCAATCACAAAGTGATTTTATCATGCCTTTAAGAACACTAAGCCACATTAAACTACGTCACGTAATCTAAATATCCTTCTAAAGACTTTTTACTGGATATATATGTAAAATTTAGACCGCATGTTGTTTGTTTATTCAAACTTTATTGACCAATAAAACGTGACACAAAAGACGGTCTTAATGCTAATAATATTTATTACAAATCCAACATTTTGGATGTTTTGAGACATTCTAAAACGGTTTAATGTTGAAATATATATATATATATATATATATATATATATATATATATATATATATATATATATATATATATATATATATATATATATAATAATATGCAATTATATTATTTACCTGCGACTTGGTTCGTATGAATAGGGTATGCCGATTGAATGGCATAAAATATAGCCTACGTCTTTCTTCATCTGATACAATATTTCATAATCAAAAGTCTAACCGTTACAGTTCGGGAGGAAAGGGATTGTTAGCAATGGAGTTTGACAGCCCCATTGCTAGCAATTTGCCCTATTAGGTCGACCTCCACGTGGTTCCCCCTGGAAACCATAGTGAACAATTCTTGTTGAATTCGTCACGATGGGCTAACTGACCTGCTTCATCCTCACCTATCATCCTTCACTGGTCCGCCGCCGGTGTACACCGATAGCGCGGGTGGGGTTACCATTCCATTATCATCCATTAAAAAAAAAACAAAAACCGTTAAGGTTCTAAGAGGTAATAAACAAACAAAATCACTTTTACAGGGGGAAGGGGATTATTAGCCCCACTATTAGTAATATGCCCTATTAGGTTGACCTCCACGCGGTTCTCCCTGGAAACTACTGTGGTTAATTCTTGTTGGAATCACTATGGACCAACTGGCCTGATATCGTCCCCACCCATCATCTCTCGTTGGTGCGTAACACTCTCAGGCGGGGTTTTTTTTAATGGGTGATAATGGAATGGTAAACCCACCTGCGCTATCGGTATACACTGGCGAAACACCAGTGAGGGATGATATATGACGATAAAAGCAGGTCAGCTAGCCCATCGTGACGAATTCCACTAGAATTAACCACAATAGTTTCCAGGGGGAACCGCGTGGAGGTCGACCTGACAGGGTATATTACTAGCAATGGGTTCATTAGACCCCTATTACTAACAATATCATCCCCCTCTCAGGTGGGGTTACCATTACCATATAAACCAATACCTAAGATTGCAATACATATGCCTGACATATATTATAATATATAAGTGACTAGAATTAGTAACATATGTTTGATAAAGCTTGCCATGTCAGTCTCGGCATAGAATGGGCCACCCCTACCTTTCCCGTGGGTGTCGTAAGAGGTAACTAAGGGAGGACGAGGGATGAGCACCAGCGTCCCTCTTAAAACATCTCTAAAAGCCTAACTGCTGTTGCCAAACCGCCTGCCAAACGTGGCGACTACTAGCAAAACCTCCTTTATGGAGAGGACCTATGTTCAACAGTGGGCAGTTAACGGCTGACATGAAGTTGTTAGCATTCAAACACGTTTCGAAATATGATAAAAAAAAAAATATTTAGCCCCATATTAACATGGCGGTTCTTTTTCGTCTAGCTGTTAAGTTAATATCATCATCGTCATCGCCATGTGGTTGCCAACCCGCCTGCCAAACGTGGCGACTACTGACAAAACCCCCTTTATGGGACCTATGTTAAGCAGTGGGCAGTTAATGGCTGATATAAATTTGCATGGTATTTTTTTTTTTTGTAATATTTAGATGGTAACGTAGACCAAAAAAATTAAAACGAAAGTTGACTAATACTTCAGTTTAGCATAGAACAATACTTAATTGATGCCTTATTTGCACGAAACCTGTTACGCAGTTACTCTTTTCAGCAATAAAATAAATTCTAAACAACATACCGTGACGGATCTGGCGTAAGATCCGAATTCTCCGATTTGTACTAAAATAGCGTCGATGGAACTATTTTTGACCGATTTCAATAATGAAGTTAAGTACCTCGGAACTCTGTCACTTATAAACCGATTTGGAAAAATATTTTATTATCTGAAACGTTTTCGAACGTATCGAAAATATTTACAGATTAATTACCATTTTATAATTTTTTTTTATTATTTTATTAATTTTAGATCAATCCCATAAAACAAATATTATATATAAAATACTTATTATAAATACAAATCTTTTGAAAATCCCTCAAGTAATTTAGTTTTTAATTCAAAATAACGACGAATGGTAATTAAATAATTGACAATTGAAGTCGTTGTTCTTTTTTTTTTTTTTTTGGAACAAAATCGATTTATTTAATTTACTCTAAAAGAAATGCATTTAGAATTATTAATTACAAAAAAAATAAAAAATAAATAGTTAGTAAGGATATACTTTATTTTTTTTTTTTTTATGCAACTTAGAATGACAAACAAGCTGACGGCCCACCTGATGGAAAGTGGTAACCGTCGCCTATAGACATGAGCAGTACCATGGACATAGCAGACTATACTGTTTCACCCATGATACCCCCCATGCGTTGCCATTCCTGAGGACTCAGGTGTTATTCCTCTGTACCCAGTAAATTCACGCCATATCCCACCCTTCAAACCGAAACACAGTCATGCAAACACAACTGCTTCACGGTTGAAACACGAATGGGACAGAGGTACCCAAGCAATCGACTTTTGTACAAAGTCTCCCTCTGGTAAATACATATACATACATAGAGTACTTAACCGAATTGAAACTCTCCTTTTTTGATGTCGGTTAAAATATAGTAAAAAAAATATTTAAACTGCCATGATTATAATAAATATAAGAATAAATATTACAATTGTATAAAAAGAGTAACATTCTAATATGATTATTAACAAGGTCAGTGTCGTTTTTATAATATTTTAACACGGAATTAAAAGAAACCAGATATCAAGGATATGACAGTGTACAAATAGCATACTAAACATTCACTTTTTAACACACAAAATGATATATAAAATAATCTTAGAATATATAGATGTAACATCGAGTCTCAAAAACGCGTCAACTTTTTGTCAGCCAATTGTCAAATTAGCTGATTCGTTATTATATATAGTATTCTATATAATTACGCACTCAAAGTGTCCAAAATATATCTATATTTAATTATTTAATAGATAAAATGATTTTATGCACATTAAAAAGATGCAAAAATTATAAAACAAAAATAGAAGTTGTAAAGGAAAAACTCATAAATATAAATCGCATAAAATTGTATTAAAAAATCGACCCGCTTTTCTAGAAGCATTTGTATGGAGACACTCTATCTATATAATCTAAAAAAGTGATATACTCCATCTACTTACCAGAAAAATGTATGTGTCAACAAACAACCAGTATTTTTAATACAGCACTGCACTTTAAAAAAATTTAATCACAACAAAGTCCAATAAACAGTTCAATAAAAAAAAATATAACACTTTTATCACAAAACTTTTCAAATATATCGTCACTCCACGAATTCAAATCGATTTCCTTTGCTTCAAATGACAGATTAAAAAATAATTGGTTCAGAAACGCGTCACAAGCGACTTTGGCGCGAAAACCTAGTGAAATGTCAATCTTGGCGGGAATTCGCGCGAAAGGTCGCCGGCCCGATGGGGGGGGCGAGCTCTTGTTAATTCGAAAATATAAACAATTGCTTTAGAGTAGTTTTAAGCAGCTTCGCCGGTGGTCGTATCGTGCTGTTAGATACCCTATAATCTTCTTCATGAAGTATGGCTATGAAAAAATAACATGTTTTCAAATCTGACTGCTGCTTCTAGATATTAGAGATGGTAATATCCGATATGTATATACTGAGTTTTGGACATTATGAGGGATTTATTTTCGATATTGGATAAACGATACGTAATATATCTGTTATTGGGCCAATATAATGTAACTAAAATGTATTAATATAAATAAATATATATATATATATATATATGATGCTTGATGTCTGAATGACTGACCTTTATATCGACGCACATTTGAAGCCGCAGAATCTAGTATTTCGAAATTTTGGAAGTAGGTTCTTTTTTATAATATAGGTGAACAATAAGAAGGGAATTTTGGAAATTCAAAATTCAACCCCTAAGTGCTAAAATCGAGGATGAAAGTATAAAATTTAGTCAATTTAGAAGTGAGACACGTGAAATTTTAGATTTAGACTCGTGCTTCATAACAAAATCAGCAACAGCTAGTTAATTTAGTTAATCAAGGAACAGCTAGTTAAGCTGTGTTCGAGTCTATGTTCGTGAAAAAAGTCAGTAAGAAGGCCGTAAGGACTAGTCTAAGGCCATCTCCAAATCAAATAGTGCAGTATTTCCATTCTCATTGGCATGCCAACTTTCATAAGATTTGGTTTCATAACAAAGCAATTTGCACGCAAATATCAGGCACAATATTAAAAAAAAAAAAGACTATTTTAAAACTGTGTAACACTTACATGCAAATAAGATATTTTATTGATTGATTGAGACGTTGAGGCAGTAAGGCGTAACAAACAAACAAAAAAATACTTTATAATAATATTTTGTCGTCCTCCGTGGCGCAGCGGTCAACACGCCTGCCTGCGACGTGGAGGCCCCGGGTTCGATCCCCGGCCAGGTCATGATGGAAAACGATCTTTTCCTGATTGGCCTGGGTCTTGGATGTTTATCTATATATGTATCTATTATAAATATAGTATCGTTGAGTTAGTATCCCATAACACAAGTCTCGAACTTACTTTGGGGCTAGCTCAATCTGTGTGATTTGTCCGTATATATTTATTTATTTATTTAATAATTAATTTTAACCAAAAATACCAGCGAATACTGCTGTTTACCTACCAAACTGATATGACATCATAACCTTTGAACAAACGCTTATTCCAATCCAAGAGTTTTTTTTTTTGGATGGTAATGGGATGGTAACCCCGCCTGCGCTAAAGGGATACGCTGGCGGAGCACCAGTGAAGGGTGATAGATGAGAATAAAAACAGGCCAGTTAGTCCATCATGATGAGTTCATCAGGAATTAACCATGATAGTTTCCAGGGGGAACCGCGAGGAGGTCGACCTGGTTGCTAGCAATGGGATTCTCAATCTCCATTACTAATAATCCTTTTCCCCCAAACATATACCCTTTAACTGTACCAGATGAGTTTTTACTATTATTAGCTAGCAATACACCCTGTCAGGTCGACTGCCACGCGGTACCCACTGGAAGCCATCGTGGTTAATTCTAGTGGAATTCGTCACGATGGGCTAACTTTTTTTTTATACACCTTAGAATGGCAAACAAGCGTACTGCTCATGTCTATAGGCGACGGTTACCACTTTCCATCAGGTGGGCCGTCAGCTTGTTTGCCATTCTAAGTTGTATAAAATAAAAAAAAAAATACATTACAAGCAATAAATTTAACATATTAGTTTAGATACTTTAAAAATGACACAAAATGACTGAGGGAACAAAGCACTATGTTTTTGTTTCCTTTACTGTACTTAGTCATTATAGTAATAATAAAACAAACGTAGTTAGTTCCACGGTAAAACAAACCTTGTCAATTTAAGACAAATATTTACACGCGCAAAAAAATTGTTATTAATTTCGGAATCGAATGCACGAATCGAAGGGCAACCCTTCGATTCGTGCGGAGAGGGACGTGACATTCCATAGAGTTGCTCAATAGCGTAATGCCCATGGTATTGCAGGCGTCCATAGGCTAAGCTAAGGTAACCACTTACCATCGGGGCGGAAGGGATTGTTAGTAATGGGGTCAAATAACACCATTACTAGCAATACACCCTGTCAGGTCGACCTCCACGAGGTTCCTCCTAGAAACCATCGTGGCTAATTCTAGTTAAGGTTAGACTTTGTACAAAATTCAATTGTTTGGGTACCTCTGTCCCATTCGTGTTTTCAACCGTGAAGCAGTTGTGTTTGCATGGCTGTGTTTCGGTTTGAAGGGTGAGATATGGTGTGAATTTACAGGGTACAAAGGAATAACACCTGAGTCCTCAGGAATGGCAACGCGTGAGGGGTATCATGTGCGAAACAGTATACTCTGTTATGTCCATGGTACTACTCATGTTTAACATATAGGCGACGGTTACCACTTTCCATCAGGTGGGCCGTCAGCTTGTTTGCCATTCTATGTCGTATAAAAAAAAATTCACCACGGTGGACTAACTAACCTGCCTTTTCATTCTCACCTATCATCCCTCACTGGTGCCCTGTCAGCGTATACCGAAAGCGCAGGCGGGGTTACCATTCCATTATCGTACATTAAAAAAAACCTGTATTGGAAATAATAAATACTGCAATCAATATAGCCCTCCGCTCGCACACCTTGGTCGGCGTTCCTGGCAATATTACAAAACATACAAATTAATAAGTATATTAAAATAATTAAAGCCAGGAAATAAAAAAACGTATTTAAAAATAATCAAGAATTTAACAATCGTGAAACAACTATCACCCTTACAATGTCAGGCTCAAGGTTCGACCACGTTAAACAGCACATAGACGCCATCTGCTGTATCATGTTGTAAACTAATTATTTTTTAATTCTTTCAAAGAGATAGAGGAAAAATTTATATATATATATATATATATATACAGATAATTTATTTGCATTACTTACAGCACACAAATAACAATACAAACATACACATAATACACATAATCTCATCCCAACCATCTGGACGAGTGGCGGTCCTCCACCGTGCGTTTTTCAAGGCACTTTCTCCCACGCACAACCGCTCTTTGGAATCAAATTCCAGCAGCAGTATTTCCGAACCGATACGACATCATAACCTTCAAGAAAAGAGCATATTCCTTTTTAAAGGGCCGGCAGCACACCTGCAATGCCGCTGGTGTTGTGGGTGATCATGGGCGGCGGTAGTCACTTACCATCAGGTGAGCCGCATGCCCGTTTGCCCCCTGTGTTGTAAAATATACAATAGAAATAAAAGGACACAGTAAAAAGAGATAGAAGAATGAAAAACAAAAAAAGCAACAATAAAAAAAAGCAAAATATATGAAGATAAATGTAATAAATTTCCATAATTATATTTTTTAACTATAAATGTGACATAGCTAATTTTTCTTTTTATATCATTTTTTTTCTTATATAATTGCAAATTTGTACAGCTCGATAGATGGGGTTGATCATATAGGATCATATATACCATCCATTGTTACCTATGTATCACAAAATTAATATATAAATAGTATAGTTTCTCAGTGAGGCCAATGGCCAAACTTCACGCAGTGTCAACAACTTTCGTCTCAAATTTCCCACTCACACCACTTCCTTTTATTCTAATTCCTTTACTGTTCAGGCAGTTCGCCTGTGGAACTCACTACCTACCTTTATTCGGTGCGCTCAATCTCTCGCTAGCTTCAAAACCTTTGTTAAAGCCCATTACCTCTCCCTTTAAATACTATTTCCCCATGTTCTATATTCATCTTACAGTGTCACTCTCTCCTATATATATATATATATATATATATATATATATATATATATATATATATATATATATATATATATATATATATATATATATATATATATATATATATATATATATACATATCTGTCACGCCTGTCTCCCATTAGGGTAGGCAGAAACAATGGAACGCCAAATGCTTCGATTCAAACAAACCTATCTATATGCATATATATGTATATATATTTGTTTATATATAATAGTGCGCCACCTTCCCTTTGTTTTTCTTTCTTTTCTCAATGTCCTCTACCCAAAGGTTGTCTGGAAGAGATTGCTTAGCGATAAGGCCGCCTTTTGTATCATCTCTCATTACAGTTAAATGTATTTACTATTTTATAAATGGGCCAATAAAGTGTAAATAAATAAATAAATATAAAACAACAATTCCCTTCTTTCATGCTAGCATGGCTAGCAATATACACTATATGGCGGGGAGCAAAGGGATTGTTAGTAATGGGGTCTTATAACCCCATTGTCAACAATATATTTTATCAGGTCACAGTAACAATCTCCGTGTGTTTCCGCTTAGAAACCATCTTTGTTAGTTATTGTCGAATTCGTCGCGATAAGCTAATTGACCTGCTTTCATCCTCACCTGTTATTTCTCACTGGTGCCCCGCCAGCGTATACCGATAGCGCAGGCGAGGCGATTTCATTATCATCCACTAAAAAAAATACAGCTAATCAATGCTAATTCTATTCCAATTTTTATGACAATTTGAATATTATTCAATCTATCAATATGGGTATATTGGATTACCGCTGCAACAAGAGATAGGTAGTCGAATGCAACATAATACAAATCTGATATTAACGGAAGGCGACTGCCGCGAGGGCGCGCCGCGGCGCGGAACGGCGCTTGCGACACGCGGTGCTTACAGTCTGTTTTAATTGCCGGCGCTGCGGTCTGACTGTCAGACGATCGAAATACAGACTAGTTGTGCTCGCGGCTTCGGCCGTGTTAATGAGACTTTTTTATACAACTTAGAATGGCAAACGAGCTGACGGCCCACCTGATAGAAAGTTGTAGGCGTCGCCTATAGACATGAGCAGTATCATGGACATAACAGAGTATACTGTTTCGCCCATGATACCCCCCATGCGTTGCCATTCCTGAGCACTCAGGTGTTATCCCTCTATACCCTGTAAATTCACGCAATATCCCACCCTTCAAACTGAAATACAGGCATGCAAACTGCTTCACGGTAGAAACACGAATGGGACAGAGGTACAGAATGGGGAAGGATTTGTTAGTAATGGGGATTAGCAATCCCATTGCTAACAATATACCCTATCAGGTTGGTTGTTGGAAACCATCGTCTGCTTGTTTGCCATTCTAAGTTGTATAAAAAAACAGATTAGAGGTATACTTTATTCATCAATTAAGTTTACAATTTAATATTATTATTTGATACATTTATATACAATGTTAAACTTAATATACTAATAATAAAAAAAAATCCATTAATTAATTCTATCCTTGCATCAAAATGTTATCAATTATTATGCATCTAATTAGTGTTACTTATAAAATTTACTTTCGTTTTCTACTTTTAATTTAGTAATTGCCAATTAATTTGATATTTCTTTCATCCGTTTCCGTGGTGTAGCGGTTATCACATCTGCCTAACACGCAGAAGGCCCCCGGTTCGATCCCGGGCGGAAACATACTTTTTAAATTTATTTTTAATTACAAACATTTATTTAGATAGGTATCATCTAGTAATATAATTATTTATTAAATTTCTTATATTGTTGTTATACATATTCTACATTATATTTCCTTTCCTTAGTCATAAAATACATTCATTATTAATATTGTGGTTATCATTACATATTTATAAAATTAAATTAAATTTTTAAAAGATTTGATATGTCACTGTTTGTGTTATGATTTTTTTTTATACCACTGAGGTGGCAAACAAGCATCCGGCCCACCTGATGGTAAGCGGTTACCGTAGCCTATGAACGCCTGCAATAGCAGAGGTATTACGCGCGCGTTGCCAACCCTTTTGAAGAACCCCATGCTGTAATCTCTTGGGAAAACCTCGGCAGGGAGCTCATTCCATAACCTGAGTGTTCGTGGGAGAAAGCATCTCTGAAACCGCGTTGTACGCGACCATTTAGGCTGTAAGGTATGAGGGTGAACTCCCTGTCGATGGCGAGACGTACGATGATAGGAAGTGGTCGTGGGCATCATATTGAACAATTCCTCTGAGCGCAATCCGTTGTACAAGCGGTAGAACACGCAGAGTGAGGCAAAATCTCTCGATTGAACTTCATTATACCAGTGATTTATTATCAGTATCAGTAACTTTCAGTGTAACCTCGATATAACGAGTCGCAAGGGAACAAGTAAATATTTGTTATATCAAGTAATTCGTTAAAGTGAGGTTTACTATTATCAAGGTGGGTTCATACATTCAAAAATCAACAATGTAGTTATTATGGTAGCTTAATCTTTATTTTATTCACCTTGATTAGTGAAAAAATCATACATTTTTGTCTGTTGATCACCGGTAATAGTTCTCCAAAGCGCAATCCAATTTCGTGGATTCGTTATATTAAGGTTGCGCTGCACTATCATTTTCTATGATTATTTCTAAACAACAAATAACTTTTTGGACTCTTAATAACACTTATTTAAAATTGTCACATCGGAACACGTTTATAGTTAAACAGTGTCTGCATATCTGATTTTTATTGCCAACTTTAATAAACTTTTATAATTCATCTCGAATGCAATTGAAAACAGCTTTGCTCCTACAATTTTCGTAGGTGTTAACAGCGAATGGAATTGAAAAACATTTTAAATATTTTTTCCCTTATTGACAACAAATTAAAGATATATTAGTTTTAAATAAAACACTAAGTGTAAAAAAGTAATTAAATTTCTATATCAATCATAAATGTAAATTATTTCAATTAAAAAGAAAGAAAAAATAAATAAATAAACCTCCACAGAAAGGCTACACGTACAATGTAACAGACTCAATCTCTTATTTGTAATAATAATATTAATAATAAACTCTTTATTGCGCACAGTAGAGATGTATACAAGGAGTATTTATACAGAATGTGCATATGAATGAATGAATGAATGAATGGTTTATTTTCTCTTCACAAAAGGTGGAATAAAGTAACAACATGAGGTACAATTTGAAATGAAGACCAGTTTTGTATATGCTAAATATGTATAAGCTAAAAGCAATCTCTTACAGACAACCTTGTATTCATTTTAAAAAATCTATTAATTAAAATACACCACTAAAATTAAATAAATATTATTTTATTCCATATAGGTACTATTCCTTAAGTAAAATTTATCTTTCCTTTTTTTTACTTCACATTAATCGATCGACTATTCTTTTTTTTATACAACTTAGAATGGCAAACAAGCTGACGGCCCACCTGATGGAAAGTGGTAACCGTCGCCTATAGACATGAGCAGTGCCATGGATATAACAGAGTATACTGTTTCGCCCATGATACACCCCCATGCGTTGCCATTCCTGAGGACTCAGGTGGTATTCCTCTGTACCCTGTAAATTCACGCCATATCCCACCCTTTAAACCGAAACACAGCCATGCAAACAACTGCTTCACGGTAGAAACACGAATGGGACAGAGGTACCCAAGCAATCGACTTTAAATTATATCACAAAATAATTTCAAAAAAAAAAAACAATATATAGTTAAAGTAATACACAGTGATATGTATTCAAAGTTATATACCATTTTATAAATACAAACTTTGAAACGCAATTATATATAGTATGAAGGGAAATTATCACTTGAAAGCCTGTCGATGTCATCTCTAGACCCTGAATCTTCCATCTCCATTTTTTCTGTGCCATAATCTAATGAATTCAATAGATCGTTCTCTTTCCTTAATATAACGTCTTCTGTGTTAATTTTAAATCTCTTTTTATTATCTATTTCACTGGAAATACCACTAACGTTCTGCACATATTTCCTCGGTTTTTTAGTAATAGTTACAGTTAAAGGTTTTACAGTTATAGTGGTTAAATTTAAATCTTCTTCGCTATAATCTGTATTAGTCCAATATATCTTAGATTTTACCGAATTATCTTCAGTATGATCATTGAAATGTCTCATTTTTATCTTACCTTTCTGAATAACAGTTGTTGTATCCGGAACTGGAGTACTAGAGATCAAATGTCCACTTTCAGAACTAGATTTTAATGTAGTACTAGTATCTTCTAGAATGTTATTATTATCTTCAAAATCGGCAGAAAATATTTCGAACGTTTTCTTATCATCCCCATTACGACCTTGGGGATTAACATCAATGTCCTTTCTTTTATCATTTCCATAGACCTGATTAAAAGGAGTTTCTGTTACTGATGCTTCAGTATATTCATATCTTCTTGATACTACTTCTGTATTTGTCGTTTTAGAAAAACTGATATCAGTATTAGACACTCCTTTATCAACTTGGTATAAATAAATTTTTTCATGCTCTTTGTCTACATCCTTAGACTGGTCTGGAGCTATGGATTTTGAATTGTCTAAAATAGGATGAAATATATCTTCATTCGATACCCTGTTTGAGTCGGAAAAGCTGTCTTCTCTAGACATATTCATTGGTGCTGATTCTGTAGTCTTAGGAACAGTTAAGTTAGAATTAGCATATAGCAGTACTTTTTTCTTTACTGACTTTATATCCGGTGCATTTCTTATGGTGTCTATAAGTAAGTCTATACCATCGTGAACTGCAAAATACATTTAATTATTTATGCAATATAAAATATTTTAATAAACGATTGTAAAAAAAAAGCCATCGATAAGGATTTCATCCTCATATCCCACAGCCTAAATAATCGCATACAGCGCGGTTTCAGAGATGTTTTCTTCCACAAACACTCAGGTTATGGAATGAGCTCCCTGCCGAGGATTTCCCAAGAGACTACAGCATGGAGTTCTTCAAAAGAGGGTAAAAAGATTTCTTCAGGGTCGACAACGCGTGCGTAATACCCCTGGCATTACAGGCGTTCATAGGCTATGGTAACCACTTGCTATCAGGTGGCCTGTATGCTTGTTTGCCACCTCAATGGTATAAAAAGAAATTACCTGGTACTCCTTCTAAACGATAATTTTGTTTCACTAAATATTCCATTAACATTAACAAGTATTCAATTGCATCAACATCTTTCAAGATGTCTCTTGTTCTTCTTCTTCGTGGATTTAATGTTCGAGCAAGATTGTTAAGTTTTTTAAGATTCATAATTATATTGTTTGAAAAGGTATCGACGGCTTTGGTGACATTATTTTCATTCATGGACAGTTTCAAATGATAGTCGGTTCTTTTAGAATCACTTTGATATAATTTTCTTTGAAATTTAGTCAAAATCTTATACATCTTACTCATAAAAGTATTTTGTATTGAATTATATTTCACTAATATTTTTTTTAAATTTCTTATCGGTTCTTGGCTTGTTGTGTTTAATTTATGACTATTTAAGAATTCTTTTTTAGTATCATTTCTATTATTTTGTAAATGATCTTTACTTGTTAAAAATGCAACAATATCATTTAAAATATAAACAAATCTTCTCACTGAACGCATAAATATTTTTGTGTTACTTTTAATGTAGTTTATTTGAGTATTTTGTGTTTTGCTTAATTTGCTGCTATAATTGTCATTAGTATTCAGCATTTTGAAAAGAACATTTAGTTTTCTTATGTCGTTTTTTAAATCAGTTGTTTTATTTTCTAATGTGTCATTATTAACTTCTTTGTAATGTGTAGGAAGTTCTAAGAGTCTAAGTAATCCTTTAATTATAATTATACTTTTCATTATGGTGTAAGTTTCTACATTCAATTTCTTTAGTTTTCTTTGTAATTCTTCACTGTCTTTAGTTTTATCATTACAGGGGCCAAAGCTATCACATAGAGATTTTATTGTGTGCTTATTGACATGTAAATCACTATTTTTGGTTTTATTTCTTCCTGTAAAGAATATTTTCTTAAAGAACTTTTTCATATACTTTATTACGTTTAATTTTTTTGTTCTTCCTTTAAATGTATTGTTTTTCTTAAATCCATTCAACATAGTTTTTAAAGAATTTTGAAGGTAATATATTTTATTATACACTTTATCTTTTATATCACTGCCGATGTTTGATTTTGTTCTATTGTTTTTATAATTAAGAACTCTTTTTATATCGTATTTCCTTGATGCACCAACTTTTCTTCTAACATCTTTTCTACAGATTTTATTTTTGTATTCTGTTAATTTGTTATTATTTGTGGTATCTTTATCTAATTTCTCAGAAACAGTAGCATTTATTTCATTTTGTCTTTGATCTTTTCCTTTATCTTTAAACAATTTAAAATGAAACCATTTATTAAATTTCAATTCATTAGCATTTACATTATCTGGCATTGTTATTACTCTGCTTATATTTGAATAGTTTGTTACATTATAATCTGTATTTTTAAACTGCATAGGTTCTTTTGAAAGTTTATTATATTCAGTTTCTGTTGAATTTATGGTCGTAACATTTGTATTATCTCTTATGGAATATGTATCGTAGTTATTTGTCAATACTTTACTTGTAGTTACCGGAATAGCTGATGGTATTGAATATGTGAAATTATTATAAAGTGTGGTGTAATTCACAATTGAATTCTCTGTCGCCGTTTTCAAATTATTTGAAGCAGAAATTGTTTCATTTCCTTAAAATTTAACAAATATCGTTAAATAAAATAACATAAAAAAATTGTACAATCATTATTTAATAAATATTTTTTATAAGTCTATTTTGTTCATGGTACCTTTGTTAACTGTGTTAAAAATATATATACCAAGAAAATTTCCGATATATTTTGTATATTTAAAATGATTCATGCATTCAAACATGGTCAAGTTACAGTTATTTAATCATTCTTATTTATAATATTATTAAAATTTATTTGATATACTATCGTACGGACACCACAGCAACAGGACACACATTTTGAGATGCTATTCACTAATATGTGTGACGATTATTGCTTTTCACCAGATAGAGGTCATCAGCTTGTGTCCAACGATTAGACTCATAGAAGTATCAATTATATTACTAAGATTTTTAAGTTCAGAGCATTCATCACGCCTAGTAACAGAATAGTTGCTAAAGGCAAAATCGATGCAATAAGAGAAATACTAAAAAAAAGGCTTACCTTCATAGGTCAAAGAGCTATTTTCTATCAATGTACTCAATTCGCGCTTATATCTCTTTGGTTGATATCTTTTCATATTATATGTAATTTTACTTTGTGATTTATTTAGAAATATATTTTGTTCATCGTTTTGTTTCTTTGCTCTATTTTTCTTCATGGCTACAGTTTGTTTGTATTGTTTTTTACGTGATAATAGTGTTTTATATTTGGCTTTATTTCTTTGATTCTTCGCTGCCATATTTTTATAAAACTGTTCCATTGATCTTTTTTGAACCGTTTGAATAAAATTTGGTAACGAAGCGGTCACTTGATTTCTTAATACTTTCTGCATGGCAGTTAAAACGCGTTTCACTACTTCCTGAGCAATGACATTTGTATTTGTATTATTTTTCACTTTTTGTGTTATTTTTGAATTTATAACAACAGGATTTTTTGTTGCAATATCTTTTTTAATAACTACTGGTCTTGGAGACATACTTATTCCTTTATCCCTCGTACTTTTTCCCTTTGCTATATATTTAGCTGGGATACTTTTCCCTTTGGCTTGTTTAGGTTCAGATTTAGCTCGTGAGGGTTGTGCTTTCTTAGCATCCTTCTGATTTGGTTTCTTTGTGGTCTGATTTGGAGTCTTAATGATTTGTGTTCGACGTTTAGGTGTTATTTTAGTAGACTGCTGTGATTGTTTCAATATTTTCTTTGGGGATTTTTTATTCTTCTCGGCTTGTTTTTTCTTTTTAACTAAATAATGAAATTTTAAATTTTGGCTAAAGTAAGAATACCATAATATATGAACACACAAATTCTATTTGTTAATTAAGGTTAAATGTTTATCAATTAAATTTTAAAGAAAATAAAAAATATTTACTAATAGTTAATGTATAGACGACAGACCATGCTTTTGTGATATATTACTTACATGAAGAATTAAAGAATTAATATATTCTAATAATTGTTAAAAAAAAACCTTCAAACACAATTTTTTTTTATACAACTTATAATGGCAAACAAGCTGACGGTCCACCTAATGGAAAGTGGTAACCGTCGCCTATAGACATGAGCAGTACCATGGACATAACAAAGTATACTGTTTCGCCCATGATACCCTCCATGAGTTGCCATTCCTGAGGACTCAGATATTATTCCTCTGTACCCTGTAAATGCACATCATATCTCATCCTTCAAACCGGAACACAGCCATGCAAACACAACTGCTTCACGGTAGAAACACGAATGGGACAGAGGTACCCAAGCAATCGAATTAGAGATAATTTAATTATTTGTATGAAAAATAAAACAAAAAACATTATTGACTCTTAACTGACTTCTTGTACAAGCAGATTTAGAATCTGCAAACAGAAATACACAGAGTCTACACATACAGAGTCTACCAAAGGGAGACTTTGTACAAAAGTCGATTGCTTGGGTACCTCTGTCCCATTCGTGTTTCAACCGTGAAGCAGTGTGTTTGCACGGCTGTGTTTCGGTTTAAAGGGTGGGATATGCCGTGAATTTACTGGGTACAGAGGAATAACATCTGAGTCCTCAGGAATGGCAACGCATGGGGGGTATCATGGGCGAAACAGTATACTCTGTTATGTCCATGGTACTGCTCATGTCTATAGGCGACGGTTACCACTTTCCATCAGGTGGGCCGTCAGCTTGTTTACCATTGTAAATTGTATAAAAAGAAATTAAAAGAGAATCTTAACTAGTAGATTACATAAATATGTATTTTTTTCTTATTGTGCATAGTATTGCTAGGTATTCCATGCTTACCATCGTCACAGAAACTTAATAGATGACAGTTCCAATGACCATTAGCACCGCAGTCGCACACCGTACAGCCAGTGCACCAGTCGGCTGGAAAATAACATATTCTAATGAATTAGGAGTTATTTTACGAAAATCCATATCACTGGTTATTTGATTACGAATTATTCTATTTAATTCCGCTACCATTACTACCAACAACTTGACTACTATTATTATTACTAGAAGTTCTACAACCTTCCATATTAGTCATTAACCTCCAACCGCCATTCCATCCACGCACTTTTTGCAATATTCTACCTCTACACGAGACGTCTTCAGGGAAATTTATAAATCTGTTCGGAGTGTTGCGTTAACCGTACGTAGCCTAACCTACAAAATTTACTTTTAGAGTGAAGTTCGCCTTTGTACATTTTTCTCTGTCATATTTTTATGTATAATTAATGTGTACAATAAAGTATTAAATAAATAAATAACATTTACAATTTTTTTTTAATCTTTGTACCGCCATTAACTTTCTCTGTTGATCGTGACGGTTGACTGTTAGAGAATGCCATCAGGCATTAACTCCGCCCTGTAGACATATTTTAATGTGTGCAAAGGTATAAATAAATAAATAACATCCTTTTATTATAAGTTCAACTTTTTTGTAGTAAGACCGAGTATGTTCAAGTACCTATTATATTTTAATGAGACTAATTAACTCCCTGATATAAATAAATAAAAATCCTCATCAGAACTAGATCGAGAAGTAGTTATGATAAAGAAGTGTTTAATTTTAAAATTTATAATGATATACCTGGAGGACATCCTTCGCTGAAACTCGACTCATACGGTTTACACACTTCTGGAACTTGTTTATTGAATACTGGAAAATATAAAGTTTTATTATATACTCGTAACTCAAATATATATATATATATATATATATATATATATATATATATATATATATATATATATATATATATATATATATATATATATATATATATCATCATGTGGCTAACATGACATGGCTTTGTATTTTGCCATGTGGTCCTAACATAGAATAGGCTACCATTTCCTTTCCCATAAGTGTCGTAAGAATCGACTAAAAAGCAGCGAAGGTTGGGCAGCAGCGTCCCTCTTAAAACATCTCTAAAGCCAACACCACCCAAGGAAGAAGCCTATGTCCAGCAGTGGACGAATAATGGCTGAAATGATGATGATGAAATAAATAAATAAACCAAGCAATGTGAAATACAAACCTTGTCTAGTTGCGTCTTTAAAGAAAATATCGCTCAATCCCACGGGACTCCGGCGTGCCCTCGCTACATTTGTACGTCTGAAAAGAAAATTGTTATTATATAAGTTTGTATACATTATCATCACCGTTATCATCATCATCATCATCATGGTCTTTAACTATCCACTGCTGAACACAGGACTCCCCCGTAAGGGGAGTTTTGCCAGTAGTTGCCACGCTTGGCAGGCGGGTTAGCAACCGCAGTTAGGCTTTTAGAGATGTTTTAAGAGGGACACTGCTGCCCATCCCTCGGTCATTAAGTTCCCGTAATCGCCTTTTACGACACCCACGAGAAAGTTCAATTCCTAAAGAATTCATCACCATGGACCGACTGACCTGCCTTCATCCTCACCTATCATCACTCACTAGTTCCTAGCCAACGTAAAACAACAAGGCAACGAGGTTACCATTACATTATCACTCATTAAAAAAATCCAAATTGTCAACAATGTGGTAATAGCAGGATTAGCAGATAGCTAAGATAGATAGGTAAGGGATTATTAGTAATGCGGTCAAATAGTCCCATTACTAGTAACATTTTCTATAAGGTATACGCGATTCCCTTTGGAAACTGTCGGGATTATTTCCTATATAATTCACCATGATAGACTAACTGGCCTGTTTTCATCCTTATCTATCACTAATGCCCTGCCAGCGTATGTTGATTATTTCTTCATTTCAAAAACTGGCATTCTTTATTTATGTAATTTATATAATTCTTTATTTTATGATAGTTTGTTTTCCTTGTGCATATAATTATTAATATGTATCCTAGTATTGGGTACATATTTAACATATATGCATGGGATTATATAATTTTGTTTGAATGATATGTATATGTATGTGTGTGTGTGTATATATGTATGTGTATGTATATTTATATATGTGTGTGTATGTATATATATATATGTATATGTATGTATATATGTGTGTGTGTATATATGTATATAATTTTTATATATTTTTAATTTGCAAATGATGCTTTTTTAATTATAAATCACTATCATACATACTTGTACAACAATTAGTCCATTACCATTCATCATTTTCACCCATTCAAAAGAAAGTAAGCTATATCTTTCTGTTAAGAGAGGAGATTCAAGCCCATCAGTGAACACAATTATGACAACAACATACCTTCCTCCGATATGATGATGATGGTAGCTCTCCACGTCACATCTCTTGTTCTCTCTTACCCAACACACTGCGCTGTCACCACCTTGGCAGAAGCAGAGGTGGCAGGTACCTGGCTCCACTGTATTTGGGGTCAGCTCCCTTTGGAGGAAATATCCCACTTTGGGACATGCGACTGCTTTTCTAATTGTATAGTTAGTATTGAAAGAAATATCTGAAAAGGAAACATTTTACGTCGATACAATGGATACAATGAACGTGGTGCAATCCACGTCGAAACGTTAGGTTAGGTACATATTTTAAAATCCACGCTTACGAAGTTGCTAGCAAAAGCTATCTTTATATGAACTTATAATAATAAAATAGAGAAGATATCAAACCTCTGGCGATGACCTGGTACACCAGCAGTAACAACCACACCACCATCTTCAAACACCATCAGAGCAGTGGAGTAGTAAGCCAGCAATAATACGAGCGCAGCGTGTTTATAAACATACGACGAAAATTTACGTTTGTACAGGTGCGCCGGATCAAGGGGATCTTTTAAGAAGCTACTTATTTCAGAAAACTAAAAAGGCATTAAAAATATAGTAAGATACCGCTGGTTTTTTTTTTATACAACTTAGAATGGCAAACAAGCTGATGGTCCACCTGATGGAAAGTGGTAACCGTCGCCTATATACATGAGCAGTACCATGGACATAACAGAGTATACTGTTTCGTCCATGATACCCCCCATGCGTTGCCATTCCTGAGGATTCAGGTGTTATTCCTCTGTACCCAGTAAATTCACACCAAACCGAAACACAGCCATTTAAACACAACGGCTTCACGGTAGAAACACGAATGGGACAGAGGTACCTAAGTAAACGACTTACGTACAAAGTCTCCCTCTGGTAGTATGGTACCTATTTTCATTTCTACAGAACAGATTATAAAACTTTAGGAAAAATAGGGGACGAGTGAATGGTACCTCCGTACAAAGACTAATGTTTGAGAGCACATAATACTCCTTTTTAATGGAACCTGAAAAATAATCTTAGAAACACTAAAAGACAGGGGGAAAGGGATTGTTAGTAATGGAGACTAAGAATCCCATTGCTAGCAATATACCCAACCAGGTCAACCTCCTTGCGGTTCCCCCTGGAAACTATCATGGTTAATTCCTGATAGGCTAACTGGCCTGTTTTCATTCTCATCCATCACCTTTCACTGGTGCTCCGCCAGCGTATCCCGTTAACGCAGGCGGGGTTACCATACCATTTTCACCCATCAAAAAAACACTGAAAGACAAGACATCTTAAGATAATTCAAAAATATCATGAAATCAGCCGTTATATGTCCACTGCTGAACATAGGCCTCCACTTTATACCGTCAGAAGGAAGGAGACCATTCTTTATGGCAGTTTACTATAAGGGGGATTTTGCAAGTAATTACCATGCTTGGCAAGCGGATTGCCAACCGCAGTTTGGCTTTTAGTGATGGTTTAAGAGGAACTCTGTTGCCCATCCCTCGAACATTAAGTTTCTTTCGCCTCCTACGACACCCACGGGAAAGAAAGGGGTACAGAGTAATAATACCTGAGTCCTCAGGAATGGCAACGCATGGGGGGTATCATGGGCGAAACAGTATACTCTGTTATGTCCATGGTACTGCTCATGTCTATAGGCGACGGTTGCTACTTTCCATGAGGTGGGCCGTCAGCTTGTTTGCCATTCTAAGTTGTATAAAAAAAAAACCAAGACCACACGGCAAAATTGAAATATGTTTACATTTGTAAATTCGTTTATTAAACTACTACATTTCCGTCCAAGCGCGTTCGTTACATGCCAAATCCGTCTCTGAAACGTTCAACAAAATTTTACCAAACAAAACTTCGGATTGCGAAACATACGCAATTTACATTGTTCACCGGGCGACGCGTCAGTATGCGTCTTCTATATGTTTGTCTGTTTGTCGGCATCTACGGCATCCCCGGTGAGTTGTTTGTTGTTATTTAACAGTTTTACTAGATATTTCCTCTGTTGTGGAATTGTATATAAATCGCCTCGATGCTAATAAAGTACCAATGTATTAACAACCGCTGTGTGGTTACAGCATAGAATTAGCCACCTCTTCCGTTCTCATGAGTGTTTTTTTTTACATAGTTTTATACATGGACATAACAGAGTATACTGTTTCGCCCATGATATCCCCCATGCGTTGCCATTCCTGAGGACTCAGATGTTATTCCTCTGTACCCAGTAAATTCACGGCATATCCCACCCTTTAAACCGAAACACAGCCATGCAAACACACTGCTTCACGGTTGAAACACGAATGGGACAGAGGTACCCAAGCAATCGACTTCTGTACAAAGTCTCCCTCTGGTAATGAGTGTAGTTAGAGGGTATTTAGTGGTCGAGGAATGGGTAGCAACCATCTTAAAATATCACCAAAGCCTAATTGCGGTTGCCAACTCGCCTTCCGAGCGTGGCAGCAACTGGCGAAACTCTTCTTATGCGAGAAGTCTATGTTTAGCAGTTGAAAGTTGAAAGTGATATGATTGTGAATAAGTTTTTAGTTCCATTAAAATAATACTTTCTTACTCTAGCTTTTTTTTATAACACAGTTGGCAAACGAGCATGCGACTCACTGATGGTAAGTAACTACCGCCGCCCATGATCACCCACAACACCAACGGCATTGCAGGTGTGCTGCCGACCTTTTATAATAATAAATATAATAGAATGCCTGGTGAATTTAATAATGATTTTATTTGTTAATAATATTACAAACATTTATGATTTATGTTAAATTAACTAATTACAGATAATTTATATTTCGAACAAAAATTGAACAACTCTATATATGGTAATTCAAAAGAACTGGAAGGCTTTAATGTAATGAATGTAATAAAAAGAGATGTTTCGCAAGTAAATATTATGGAAACAACAACAGAAGATAGTAATATCACAGACAGAATTCGAGATCTTAAAAAAAATGTTTTATTCCCACTAACTAACATCGTAAACGATGAACAAAATGAACTCGAAGAATTACTACGTGTAAAAGAGAGTCTTTTTGGATTTATAAAATTTTTGGACAATAACACTTTATTGGACTTTAAAGAAAATAATACAAATGGTAATAGGACACAAATTTCTATCTACAAATTTGAAATTTTTCCACAATATGACATTAGAAGGGGCGATAGTAATATTCTAGATAAATATTTATATAAACTTAAACGTGATATTTTCGAAGTAATTAGAGATATAGTTGCAATACAAAAATTATCTCATTCATCAAATCTACCAGAAGATTTGAGATTCTTAATTCATGCTATGAAGTACTATATTCACAAAAACGGAAAAGAACAAATTGAAATAAAAAAGAATGAAACTGATATAGATTTTAGAAGATATTGGAGGAAAAATTTGCCAGAAAAATCAACAAAAGATGTTATTATTGATATTATACAGCTTATCGACAAAGATAAGCCACGCACTGGCGCCTTAAACGTGTTGTCTCAAAAAACAAAACAACTGTTAAATAGGATCATATCGCAATATAATGAATTCGCTGTTATTAGTTTAAGAGCTAACTAACCAAATTATAATTTGACTAATGATTTACAAAATATAGAAAAGAAATGGCAGAAAATATCTGTAATTATTAGCAACAGTTCTCAATTTGACCACATTTATAATATGAAATTATTACATACCATACTATCTAGTGATATTATCAAAATCAATGATGCATTAGCTTTAATTGACTTCGCTGATAGCAGACGTGTGATTCCTAGTAATATCGGTATTGCTGACGATATTTTAAGTATAATAAATGGTAATTTAATCATAATAAAAACCAAAATCCATAGATTCACAACGAACCCTGACGATTATATAAAGAAAGATTATATCAGAACTACGACTAAAAAAACTAAAAAAGAATCATTTTTAAAGCGAATAAAAAAAATATTTAGGAACTCAAAAAAAGATTTAATAAGCCTTTTACACAAAAAGATCCCAAAGTTGGAGGTTGTCAAAGAATTAGCAAGAGAGAAACTAGACGACCTAAATAGAAGAAAGCTGAACGAGTACGAATCGTCAATGCAAAAATGGCAGAAAAGTTTGGACGTCTCAAGAAGAAAACGATCCACTTTCAACTTTGAAACACTTAAAAATCATATTATAAATATTCTACCGGAATATTTAAGGGGAAAAGTTAATCCTGCCATAAAGAAAGGGAAACCAAAAAAATAAAAACAAAACACGACACGGTGAGTGAACTAAAAATAATACCAGGACTAATTTGGATTTTTTTTTAATTTGACTTTAAAATAATTCAATTGTCACTGTATTACTATATATGAAATAATATAATTAACGCATAAATAAACAAACAGGTTTATTTATGCGTTAATTATATTATTTCAATATTTAACTTGTTTTACAGTACACAGCAGAAATAAAAAACATAGTAGAAGAATGACACAAAATAGAAGGCTGACGACAAAAAGATAAAATACGACGCAAATAAATACGAAGTGAATGAAAAAGTAGAATAAAATGACAACATTGTATATTTAATTCTGTTATTTAAATAAGTTTAGATTAATTTCTTTTTTTAGTTTTAATAAGCAGATAAAATTTTTATATTATTTTTTCCTAAATAAATATAGATTACTCGTGTAGTAAATTAAAAGAAAGAAGAGAGAAAATAACAAAAACTATTAAAGATAAATTTTACGAATAATTTTTTATTAAAAAAAAAAACTATAAATGTAGAAAAATGTTATAAGTTAATTAATAAAAATATGTACATCAAACTTTCATACGCTTTATATTTAATAACTGCTTAAGAAGAGTATCCTTTGTTAGTTTTCTGATTGGATTATTTTGATGATTTACATCTTCGAATTGTATAATAGGTTCCTTCCAAGATTTCGATATTTCAGGCTTTTGATTTATCCCAAATTCAGGCTCAGATCGGGCAACAACTGTAAAAAATATAAAGTGAAATCTGAAATACAGGCTGGCAAATTATTGTTGCTTTCTTTTTTTTAATAACATTAAATTATTATATAAAATTAAAAATTATTTATACTGCTACTCATTGACAGGTATTTATAGAAGATCGAGTAACACTTTATGCAATTTATCTAACTTATTGGTACTATACTCTTTTCCATTTATGTTTCGGCTGCCGAGTAGTTACGCCTGCTTGACTGTTTTAGTTATTGAAATAATTACAACATCTTGGTAGTTCATAGGAATAGCAACGCAAAAAGATATCATAGAGGTGTTACAGTCTATACTACCAAATAATTTTCCCTTAGATGGACTGCTAGTTGATTTACATTACAACTGTGTATTTTATATTTGTGGATATTTTGAATGATTAATTTTATCAAAAGCTTACCTTCAAACCGATTTTGCTCCTTATTTCTTTCAAATATTTTATACAAGTCTCTTGCTAAATTGTTATCGCCATTTTCTAAATAACTGAGAATCTTATTTGCTATTCTGGCATTCATATCCCCGTTTATATCTGCGCCTTCGGCTTCTTTAATTATTTAAATATAATTGTAATCGATTTTTCATTAACTGGTTTACTATATCATGTCTAGATAATTTTAGTTTGCCATTATACGAAGGAGTTACGTTATCTAATTTTATATGTTGATTTCTTGTATTTCCATTTTTAACATTATTATGTTTAAATATCGAAGAGAATTCTCTTTTCATAGCATTCTGCTGTAAATTTAAACCATTTAAAACTTTTTCATTAAGGTTTACATTTATAGCAGCATTTTCTATAAATTCTTGTAAATCTGTTTTATCTGCTGGAACGGCATTTGCATTGCTCAAGTACATTTGAATATTTTCTAATACATTTACATATTGTTTAATATCTGCATTCAGGGCTTTTAATAATACTAGTTTTTTTGCTGGATGCACATTCTTTGGAATAGCTTGATTTTTGTAAACATTTGATCCAGAATTATCTACTTTATTGATATCCTTTCTTATTCCGTCATAAGATTTTGTTAATGCCTCTGAATGCCGACGGGTATTGAGTTTTCTCTTAGTACCCAAATTTTTTGCCACTCTCTCCCAGACTACAGCTGACTTTGGTCTTGATTCAGGAACAAAATTAAATCTACGTGTTTGTGGTGAATATTTAAAGTCATTTTTTAATTTTTCAAACAAATTTTTAACTGTTTCTGTTGGATTAACACTCTTATTAGATTTTAATTCTCCAAAATTTTTTTTCAAAACATTGAATATGCAAGGCAACATTTCAAATATTTGAATTTTTCTGTCTTTTATGGGTATACTACTTGCATTTTGTAATTCAATTATATCGTTTATAATAGTTTTTAAATGATCTTTTAGCTTCTCTTTAGTTTTACTTAATTTTTCCAATTTGTTACTATTAGAAGATAAAGTTGTTAAAGATGACACAGGAATAGTAACTTTAGTTATTGGAGGGACAGTTGTAGAGAATAAACCACGTAAAATTGTATTATTTTGTTTAGTTGGTTCTAAAAGCTTTACTAAATCTGTAAGAGACTTCACTTTGAAGAACTCAGAAAGATTTAGTAAAATATTTCCTTCTATGTTAGACATAGGACTTAAATTTCCTCTTTGAACTGGACAATCCTGATTTTTTAGATTAAATAAATAATCGAATATTAATTTATCTTTAGCTGTTAAATGAATATTACCTAAATCGACTCCATATAAATCTTTAAGTTTTGCTTTAATATCGTCTTCATTTTTAAATATATTTTGATTTCTTATTCGATTAGTTATCTTCTTAGATTTCTTTTTAGGAATGATCATTTTTGTTATTTTTTCTAAAATTTTACCATTTATATTCAAAGAAGATGTCTCGTCTCTTGTTAAGAACTCATCCATTGTGTAATTTATTCTCAAATTTGTTTTATTTTTATCAGCAGTAGGTAGTTCTCGTTTTAAATGACTGAGATGTTTCTGAACTGTTTCAAATTTTTGTAATAATTCTAAGACTTTACTCATTTTTTCAATAGCTCTTGCAGTAGTATTTTGTTCTTTTATTAACATTTCATTTGTATGTTTATTACAATCTACGTGACCTATATTTTCATTTAGTTTTGGATCTTTTACATCTTTAAGATACTTCTTATCTTCCTTAATCTTTTCACATAATGAAGTATTATTAATATCTTTATTGGTTACGGCTTTTGAAAGATGTTCCAAAACATTTTTTAAAAACATTTCCTGTCGCAAAGATAAAGGTTCCTCGAATAGTTCAATAAGATCAGTTATTTTTTCATGTTTCAATTTTTCTGTTTCTAACGACTCGTCTCTCGTATCTCTCTCTATATTCCACAATTTATTTAATAAATTACCAGCAATAAATGCCATTGCTGTTAGAGTATCATTTTCTGATGTGAACGTAATATTTGATATGACAGGGGCTTTTTTATCGCCAACAATCTCAGTTTTAGGTTTAAGTTCATTAACTATCATTTTGGATAAATCTTTATCTTTCGCTTTTTGGGTTTTATTAAAGAGCTTGAGTACGTTCTCTTGATTTATGGCATAATATTTGTTATCACGCCCTATTACATCAATTTTATTATCTGCAATATGGTGATTGGAATGTTGTAGTTTATATTCAATATGAAGGGGGCTTGAAACATTATTGATATCAAACAAACCCGTATGGCGTGAAATTTGTGGTAGTGTGTTAGCAACCATTTTACTAGCTTCTATAGTTCCACTTGCATTTGTATTCTTCAAAATATCTGTAAATATAGTTAAACTATTAATGTTTACATAGTTATTTATTTGATTTAAATTTGTTGAACAGTGATTGAAACGAATCCGTTGTCTTTGAATTGTTTACATGTTACTTTTCTAATACCGTAAATAATTTACAAAAATCCAATATTTCCAGAAAAATAACATAATAGTCCCTAAATACAAATAAATATACGAATTTTACTTTATAATACTATATAAGACAACAAAATAAATATTCATAGAATTCTCTGCCAAAAATAAAAAATCTGCTTAATTTCTAAACAAATTGTCTATAAAATTATAACTCTCATTTATTATTTCAAAAAGAGGGAGTATCTCAATTTGATTGTATTTTTTTTAAGTTTGTTATCTGATAACACCTTCAGTTGTAAACTGATTTGGATTTTTTTTTAATCTGAAAGAAAATACTTACAAATTAGTGCCATAGAAATTTTATCAAAATCGATTTAGTAGTTTAATTTTTAAATAATAATAACCGATTTTGACGAATTGAAGTCGTTTTTCTTTTGTAGAACACAATTTTAGCTATTAATCTTATTTATTTTATTTTTATTTTTGTGATACAACAACAGATTACAAACAAAACTTTTAACAATAGAATACAACAATAGCATTATAAGTTTGCAATCCAATTATAGTTGTACTCAACATTCACAGAGATGAAACAAAATAGGTTAATTTTACTACAAAAAGAATTAATGATAAAAACTAGATACAAAACAAGAATCAAAAACAAAACTACCAAACTATGCATAAAAACTATTAAGTTATCAATGTATGTAAAGTGCTTCGATACAATGAAAATTTCTGATAGAATATGTCAATATCCGATTTAAAATCAATGTCGTTGTACAATTTGCACATTCTGTATATTGGATTATTATATGACACATTATTGTTTGCGAACGGTATAGAAAAGAGTTTAGTTGTACGAGAAGAGTGTTCAGTGGCTCTCAGGTTTATGTACTCCAATAAATTACCCTCCAATTCATTATTTACAATTTTATATAAATATGTTAGATCAATAATTTTACGACGCGCAACCAAACTCTTCATGTTAAAATGTTTGAGTCTATTCTCATAGCATGTCAATACACGTTTGTTGGCATATTTTTTTGTGATATGACGTATAAAATTTTTTTGGATCGACTCAATTCTGTCCTCATGTACAGAATAAATTGGCGACCACACTGATGGACAGTACTCAAGCACACTGCGAACTAGCGTGACGAATAAAATAATTAAGGTGGCTTCCCTTTTAAAAGGTTTTGACATTCTTATGATAAATCCAAGCAACTGATTTGCTTTTTTACTGTTGAATTATAATGATCACGAAAAGATAATTTACTGTCGAATATTATTCCCAAATCTTTCACAACCGTAACTCTTTTTAATGATTTGTTTTCTATTTTATAGTCAAATTGGTGTATATTTTTATTTTTCGTAAAAGATATTACATAACATTTAGCAATATTCAAGGCCATATGGTTTATTTCACACCAGTTGTACAATATGGAAAGATTTTCTTGTAACTGTATGCAATTGTTTATAGTTGTTATTTCGTTATATAATTTTATATCATCCGCGTATGCCAGACAGTTACATTTAAATGAGTCTAACAGGTCATTAATAAATATAAGAAAAAATAATGGTCCCAAGTTCGAACCTTGAGGTACGCCTGTGGATGCCATAAATGGTACGGACTCATATCCATAAACTGCCACGAGTTGAGTTCGATTCTTTAAGTAACTTTCAGTCCATCTGAGCAGATCTCCCTGTATACCAATATGAAATAATTTCTTTAAAAGAATCTGATGGTTGACACGATCGAAAGCCTTGGTAAAATCAGTGTAAATCGTATCGACCTGAGTTTTGCTATTAATAGTCGAACAAATGAAATTTGTATATACCAAAAGATTGGATGCGGTTGAGCGCTTTTTAACAAATCCATGTTGTTTATTACTAATTAAAGTAGAGATATGGCTATACATATGTGGGTAAATTAACCCTTCAAAAACTTTCGCAAAACAACATAAAATACTAATGGGTCGGTAATTAGATACATTAGCTCTGTCACCTGATTTATGGATTGGAATAATCTCTAGTTAACTTCCAGATGTCAGGAAAAATGCCCTCCTTGAGAGATTTGTTAAATATAATTGTCAACGGTCCAACTAATACAACTGAACAAAGCCGAATAAAGACTGGAGGTATACCATCAGGTCCAGCACTTTTATAAACTTTTAATGCCCTAAGTGCTTTACACACTTCATTTTCGGAGATTGTAATTGTGGATAATACTGTATTAACAGTTGGAAATATAGGTTTATAATTATTAGGGATACAGGTACCATACACTGAGGCAAAATATTCTGCAAAAAAATTTGCAATATCATGACCATTATCAGCCTTTTTGCCATTATAGTGCATGGAGGTCGGAAGAGTATTTGTAATACGTTTACTTTTAGTGTAACGCCAGAATGACTTTATATTTTCATTAAGATCTCGCTCAATCTTCGCTATAAAATTCTGATGACACTTATCTATTTCCTTTTTTACTCTAGCTCGTAATAATTTATACGAGTCCATATCTCTGGGATTTCTTCCTTTACGATATTTAATCCTATATTTATTTTTTTCCCTTATCATTTTTTTAAGCGAAGTCGAGTACCAAACCGGGTAGTCTGAATTATTGTTTTTAATTTTAGGTGTATATTTTTCTATTATGGACCAAATATTATTGTACAGTACTTGGAGAAATTCGTTACCATCTAGATGAATATATTCATTCCAATCAATAATAGCTAAATCATTAATACATTTATCGTAATCTGTTTTATGGAAATTAAATCTCTCAATTGTTGACTCGTTTTTAAGATTCAGTTCTGAAGGAATAGTCATACCTATATTGATTGGGGGATGGTGCAAGTCAACACGACTAATGGGTTCTACTTGAGTTATTTTATAACTCAAGCAATCGTCAACCAAAACAAGATCTAATGTTAAATTATTAAAATTTTTTAAATGATTTAACTGTGTAAGTCCTGTTCTATCAAGAAAATCTAAAAAATTATTATATTTAGTGTTCGTTTGTGATATATTTTTACTGTAAACTGGCGTTAGCACTGTCATATTATCAACCTTGTTCCATGAAATATTGGGAAGATTAAAATCTCCTATAATTAGAAAGTGCTCGTTTTCAGAAGCGCATAACACCAATGATTCAATGTTAAATATGAACTGAGTGTACATATCATCTGGAATGTAAGATGGAAGATAAACAGTACATATATTTAACTTGATATTTTTAAAATATACCCTTATCCAAATATCTTCAACAACTGTTTGCTGCGATATACAACTATCCACAGTAAAACTTTTGGACACTGCTATGAGAACGCCCCCTCCATGTGATTTTCTAAACATATCTCTGAATACCACATCCCGATCCCTTCTGTAAACTATATATCTACTATCAAATAACTCAGAGGATAATATGTTATCATCAAGCCAAGTTTCAGTCAAGCATATTATTTCATAGTCATTAGTAAGAACAGCCTTCTGTATATCATACAACTTCGATTTCATACCGCGAATGTTTTGGTAGTAGATATTTATGTCGCTACAAAGCATAAAAAACAAATAATAATAATAATACAAATGTAAAAAAATATAAATGTAAAAACAACAAAAGAGAGAGACAAAAATAAATGTTATTTTCCTAGTGTATCTAAAAATGAAATTGAATTAACAAGAAAAGCAGGAGTATTTTCAGATTTTCGCATATAAATGCGACCGTTGCGAACCCATACAAATTTATAATGCAAATTCTTCGCCTTTATACGGGCAGCAGCATGGATAGCTTTATTAGATGGTGATAGATGTTCAGAAATGAATATTGGAGATTTATTGCCACCAATATTTAAAAGTGACGAATTGAGCTTTTCACTAGTATGGGCTTTGTTGTAATTAGTGACAGCAGATAAAAAATCGTCTCTGCGACGTACACTACGGAATTTTGCAACAACAGTACGTGGTTTCTTGCTGTCTCTGTTTCTTTTGGCTACACGAACACAATGATTTATGTCCATGTCATCCAGCTTGCACTCAACTACTTCGGCACATTTCTTAATAACATGTAGTAAATTTTCAGAACGGTTTTCCGGTATGCCATGAATTTCTACATTACACTCGCGAAGATGCTGCTCCAAATAATTTATGCGATCGCTAAGACTTATCACAGTTTCTTGTAATGCGTTAGAGTTTTTCTGAATATCATCAGTTTTTTTGGACAAAGTAGCCAATGTTGCTTGAAACTCGTCATTTTTGTGAGTAAGAAAATTAAAAGACTGTTGAAGTGCTGCCAGTTCGCTGCGTATGGGAGATAGCTCCGCTTGAAACATTGGTTTAATAACGTCATGCATTTCTTTTATCAACCACGGTAGTAATTGCTGTTTTATAGATTCTGTCAATTGATGAACATTGACTGAGTCCCTGTTTATATCAACTGTTGTTTTTACCGGAGTATCCGAATTATCCGCCTTAGGCATACTCGATTTACATTTCGGGCATATCCAAGAACTTTTTGCCTCCTTAGAAAGTTTTTTATAATTTACAGTTGAAATATTCAAACACTGATAGTGATATATAGAATCACATTTACAGCAAGATATCTGTTCAGTACTTTTTACTTTTACCTTGCAAGCCTCGCAGTCAGCCATTTTTAACGATAATTTCTTATATAGACGAAACAGCAAATTAATGGATAATAATTAATATGACGAAAATATTTTTAAGTTCACCCACAAAAAAAAAAAAAAAAAAAAAAAAAAAAAATCTTTCAATCACTAAAACTATATTTCGTTTTTTGCCACTATCACTTAATGTTATGCCGTAATTATTAGTTACTCAAATTGCGCAGACACCAATCTATCACTAGATATTAAATTAGCGTGCAAACTATAATTGTTTCAAAATATATGGAATTTATTAACGGAGCTACAAATAACAAGTCATAACTATAGAAGTTATAACTATAGAACTCGGTCAAATTTTGACTTTGTTAAAATACTTGATCAAATGTTACTCATAATTTGAAACACTTAATATAGACAGATATGTCTATATCTACTTTATGTGACAATACTACAATGTGATCACCTTCATTAATCTCATCGATTGTATGATGAAACAAAACTGTATCACTTTTGGTATCACTGTCTATACCCGATCCTTCTGTTGACCTTTTACGTCGCTGCATATATGCTAGCATTTCTTTTTTCACATCATCGTGATCATCGCCTCCAAAAGAGCCTGTAAAACGTTTTGTACTTTAATGTACGGAAACAAGTTTCTTTTTTAAAATGACATATCTTACCTTATTTTGTTCTTTAAGTATTTCATATTAAAGTAAAACAATGTGCATTATGTGCAATTATTATATTTAAACGGTGCTCAGTGTTGTTATCGCGGTATAGCAATGATGTAACCTGAGAAAAGATATACATATATAAATATTACCACCATTTTTTTTATACAACTTAGAATGGCAAACAAACTGACGGCCCATCTGATGGAAAGTGGCAACCGTCGCCTATAGACATGAGCAGTACCATGGACATAACAGAGTATACTGTTTCGCCCATGATACCCCCCAAGCGTTGCCATTCCGGAGGACTCGGGTGTTATTCCTCTGTACCCTGTAAATTCACGTCATATTCCACCCTTCAAACCGAAACACAGCCATGCAAACACAGCTGTTTTACGGTTGAAACTCGAATGCGACAGAAGTGCCCAAGCAAACGACTTTTATACAAAGTCTCCCTCTGGTGAGATGTTTTATGATTTACGCTTCGATCTAATATTTACATCAATCTGCTTCAACTATTAGAAAGCATTTACAATCATTTATATATAATAAACTATATGAAACCCATACACATTAACAATACCATGGACGTCTCAGAAAACTTTGACACCACATATTTTTTTGCATTTTATAAATGCAGATAGTTGTTTTTTTTTTTCTTTCTTTCTCATATTTAATATATCTTGACAACTAGTATTATGTTTCCGTACCCTGTAATTTCACTAGCAAATTTTTCACAACCAGAGACGAATAATCAAGCCAACAATTTTATTTTATTACCACTAGAGATGAGAAAATACCTAGCAACAGATTGTCCCCCTTCCCCGTGCTGGGTCGTGGAACTAGTGGTGTTTTTGCTTTGGTCGATTCCTTCATCTGTTTAAACTTCAAGTCTGTAAATCAAAGAAAATAACAATATGTGATTTTTTGTTTTAAGAAAAATAATCATCTCTAACGTCAAAAATGAGAAACCTTCATTCTAAAATTACGTAAAAATTAAATAAAGTTGCAAAATCGTGATCTTTTTATTTTTTCAACTTCCTTATTTTCTTTTAATAAAACAAAGATTCAGTTCACCTTTTTAAATATTATAAACGATTTTATTTGTTATCTCTCGGCACCTTATTAGCTCAATTGTCAAGAAATTTGGCAATATTTGAGATTTCCTAAGCATGCATTATATTTTAATGTACCAACTATCAGTTTAATTTACGTTATCCTGACTGCTTAAATTCGTGCTTGCGTCACAGTCGCTCATGACTAAGGATCACGAATTGATTCCAAAACTAGTCGAGCTTTCTCGATCTAATTACACGTAAGTGAAAACGGTAGTTATAGGGGGGAAACGAATTGTTAGCGAGGTCAAATAGCCCCATTGCTAGCAATATACCCTCTAAGGCCTACCTCACCGCGGTTCCTCCTAAAAACTGTCATGGTTAATTCATGCCGAATTCATCATGGTGGGCCATCTGATCTGCATTCATTCTCACCTATCATCTTCCACTGGTGCCTCGTCGGTGTATACCGATAGCGCGGGCGGGGTTAACATTTCATTGGGATATGGCGTGAATTTACTGGGTACAGAGGAATAACACCTGAGTCCTCAGGAATGGCAACGCATGGGGGGTATCAAGGGCGAAACAGTATACTCTGTTATGTCCATGGTACTGCTCATGTCTATAGGCGATGGTTACCATTTACATCATCAGATGGGCCGTCAGCTTGTTTGCCATTCTAAGTTGTATAAAAAAAAAATATGCTACTTTAATCTCAGTCAATCAAAATTAATTTTGAATTAATGAACATATCGCATAACATAAAATATACAATTCAAAGTCAAAATTCAAGAAGTCGATTAAAAACAATACCTTGTTTAAGCTTAGTGAGTGCATCTTCAAAATTGCTTTCATCAACAATGAGATTTCCATCCGACTCGTCGCACTCCATTACGGGGTGACACAGCCACTTGGCTTCGTCAGTGCATTCACACCGCTGGCATCCAGAACACCTGTTTTCTGTTAAATAAAATATAGTTTTTTTACACCACGGAGGTGGCAAACAAACTTACAGCCCGTCTGATGGTAAACGGACACTTTAGTCTATGAATGCAGACAATCTCCCAAATCAGAAACTTTTTTGCAGACAAGAAAATCACAAGCACGTTGCTCACCCTGCAGGTGCCTTAATATACCCTTTTGGAAGAAACCAATACAATAATCTCTAAGGAAAACCTCGGCAGAGACCATTCCATAGCCTGAAAATTCCCGGTGGTCAACTCCTCTGAAACTATACTGTACGTTACCATTTGGAATCAAGTATGTCAGGATGAATATCCTATCAATAGCGAGAGATGTGGTGATAAAAGGTGGCAGTGAGCTTCATTTCAAGCAATTCCTCAGAACACAATATGTTATACAAGCGGTAGATCACACGAAGAAAGGCAAAGTCTCGCTTTAGACTCAGTAACACCCGTGAACTTGGGATCATCGACTTTTCTCTTAGTCCGATTATTTATAAACTATATTCACAGCATTTTTTATTTACAAATTTTCTTACCATACTTAAGGAAGTAGTTAAGTAACTACAGCAATCAAAAAACGGTTGCAGTACCGCAGATATCGCGCATTGTGGACCCCTGTATGTGACAAGATCTTGCATCATTGTACCTAATAATTTCACTGCTATATCACAGCTTTCATAATGGAACACAATAGATGAGAAGTAACCGTTTCCACGATCTGTAGAATCTTATTTAAAAATGAGTATTTCACAATTTAATACATATTGTATTGTTATACCCAATTATTATTTTATAAGGCCAAAAACATCATTCCTCGTCGTAATGTCTTATAGTAATACATTAGAATTGATAAAGGAAGCTTGTTTCACAGCTCGCTCGTTTACAGCTGTTAGAGATTTTGTAATAGTGTATTGTGAAATAACAATTTCATTACTGAACCAAAGGAATTTTGCAGAAAGTTACCCCGAATTTAAAAATCGACGTTGAGTATATGATTGCAAACAGTATCCAATTCAAACACGTAGAAATCTCTACGTCTCCCACTAACTCTCGCTCCCTATTTCTCTCTACCCTCTAATTTGATGATTGAAAACTCACCTTCAGTACAATCCGTATATTCCGATACGAACGGTATACATGTCGAAGAATCTGTGCCCACTGAAAAATTGAATATGTTTTAAACTAGGTGCTTATATAATAAGAAATCAAAAAAAAATCTACTCAATAATTGAAATTTTAGGTGAAAAAAATCGTAAAAGAATATTTAATTTTGAATTTTAGGTTCTGGACTATTGTAATTTCCTAAATAGTGCAAAAAGTATTTTATATATTTGTTTTCAGAATTATGATTTACTAATCGTATTTAGTAATTGTAAATATGTAAAAAATATCATCAGCTTTTTTGTCCTTAACATGTATAATATATTTTTTTATAACATTGTTGTTACTTATGTTGATTTCTTTAAAGGCCATGGCTTTGCTAGATAATTTTTTAACAAAATTTAAATTATTCCTTCCAAACATTAGTATTTTATAAAAACTTACCTCATAAATGCGATGTTTGAGTAAATTTAGGTAATAACATCACTAATTATTCTATTTTAGTAACAAAAACGTTTTCCCAATACTGAACTACTTAATTTACTCGTGGGAAAAAGGTTTTATAGTTACAGTAATATTGCTGTCTCTAAGTTTATACCAATAGGAACTTAATACTAAGTATTATGTGCAATTGTGAACTTAGAATTAAAATATTTATATTTATAATGATAAGTGTGATGAGCAGTGCAGCTGATAAACTGTGCAAAATTGTGCAATATGTATACAAACTAATAATTGTGAATTTTAAGCAATTGCTATTTTAATTCAAAAAGACAAAGATAACTTAATGATCAATTTAATTCACACATCACCATCACATTTGTATAGAAAACATATAAAAATGAAAAAGTCTTTACCGCACTACAAACTAAATTTAAAAAAAAAACATTGTTAAAATTTCACTGATACTTCAATATCTTTACAATTATTAAAACACCAAATAATCACAATTACACAATTATCAATTCTCCTTTTTTTTTTCCAGTTTTTTGCTGGTGTTTCTCAAAGTTTATTTTATATTAATTTATTATCTTCATTTAGTATTTTTCTCTTTTACCTCACAGCTCAACTCACACATCCATGCATTTTTAAATTCTCCGTCTTCTTATTTATCGTTATTAACGATGAAGTCGGTATAATCTCCACCCGGCCCACCAGACATAAGATTTTCTTTAGGCACCCTTCTCCTCATTTGCCTTATCTTGTTCCTCACTTGGTTATGAAGATTCCTCCGATGTCCATCTTGATGCCCACAGCACAGCGAATCGCCTCCTGCAATCACCAATCTTTATGTTATCATTTGTATACTTATAACATGTTTGTTCCAATAACTTCGTCACAAAATCTTTCAATACACGTAATTCTAATTTTAATTTGATAGTTTTTTTTTTTTTTTAATTTACGAAGAAGATTGGTTGCAAAAGGCGATATGCTGTTTTAAAAAGATATATTTTAGGTACCGACTTACTACTAAGACGACACTAAATTAAAATTAACTAACAAGACCTAAACGATTATCACTTAAAAAACCAAAAAAGAAAAAGCAATGGCCCAATATAACAACCCTGTGGCACACCATACCGGTATCCGCTAAAGCGTACACCGCCTCGTCCATAGTCCTCCTTATTCTATACGACAATTGTCTGAAATACGTTGGTCTGTCTTGTTTGAATAAACTTCTATATCTGTCCCTGGAAGTGGCTTTTTCTCTTATATTTCTATAATATTCACAAAACCAAGGATCTCTGCTGATGCAGCCAACACCTCTCCCGTGGACAGCGCAGATGCAGTAGTAGCATATGTTTGTGCTTTGGTAGTTTAACAGTGACTCGATGTCGGAGGCAACATCGATATCAGTGTCGTTTGCAGTGACGCTGTTTGTGTAATACGAGAACCCTCGCTTACATTTTGCCTTTGCTTCATATGGGATCTCGTCCTTGTGCCAAATGTAATCTGTATTATTGATAAATTTAAATGTGAATTCAATACTATCAGTGATAGATAGAAGCAAATTTTTAGACTTTTTTGATAACTAATTAAATTGTATATTATAGTAATCATATCCTATTGTTGTATCTGTACATTTACTTTACTATCTATATTTATTTTGGTTTTACCAATATATTGTTTGGTATTTTAAAGAATACTTATACATAAAATTCCAAACTACTCATATATTAATTTTATTTAAATATTGTACTTATATAAAAAAAATATATCTTCTTTTAATTTATACAATACTGTATTATAGAACTGCATCCTATTAAACAATATTATTGTTTTATTTTGATTTTATTCTGTTTTATTCGATACTTTCCTACGAGTATGTACCTAATGCAAATTCCCACATTCTCATTAACCGCGTTGCTGTTAGCAAATAATAACATTACAAAATCAGCTGAACTGCTCATCACCGCCACTATCCCACCAACCTCTTCTAATTCTATACGCCAAGTTCCTATTATTATCATATAGAACGCTTTTCTTGAATTCATCAGTCAACATGGCCATCCTAATACACTCATTTACATTCATAGCTGGTCTTCTGCTACAATATTGGTCTTTTCCCTCGACTGAACAAACACATATCTTGCAGTATTCATCCTTCGTCTCGTGGTTCATATGAGACCTCCTAGCATCGTCTTCGAATTCGTCTGAACCATCGTTTTTAAATTCTATTTTTTCATCAATTTTGATTGTCGTACGACCAGGAATACATTTTAGATCTAGTTTATTTAAATCCTCTTCTTTTGGTGGTACATGATTGTAATAGAATTCTAATAACAAGAAAAATTGACCATATTTGATATATTTATTTTTATTTATTTAATTTGATAATCTATTTGAAGCTCTTTCAATAGCTAAATATAATAGTTATTTACGTTTATTATTTTGAACTTTTTAAATAACATTTTTTATAAATGTAAATACACACGTACACATTTGCTTTTAATAAATAGATTTCGACCAAACAAAGTAAACTTAGAGAGCTAGACCGATTACTAGGCAATGGAATCAAAACTTCTTGTCCATAAGTAATTTAATTATTCCAAGTTGAGAGCCCTGTTAACTATACTAGAGACTTTAAGACTGATTCCTTATAGTTAATGCTATTTTACATAATTCATGTATATATAAAAATGCTATTTTTAGAAAAAATCCATTCGAAAGAAACTCTTATGGACATTGGATGCTTGTTGCATCAGAACTATCAGTTGTACGTTAGTAACCCTTAAGTATTGAAAAATTCTGAGTTACATTTGATAATCAGTACTTTTCCTGCCATATTCTCGTCCTTCAAATTGGAATAAAGCAATTAAATTGGAATAATCCAATTTGCTATAGCAAAAGGGTCAATGAGTCATCCCCTTTCACAGGAAGTACCGAATATACATTTTCGTAAGAAAATATATTCAAAATCTGATTTTAGTTACTAATTAATGTGCAACATTTAAGAATAACATAAATAAATATGCTCAAAATATAAATTATAAAAAAGGGTAGTCAGTTTGCTGCTGTAGCGATGAAAGTAACACTTGACAAGTCGAGAATTCGCCAAAGAGAATCCAACTTGACAGGGGACAAGCCTATCGCTAATACTCGGATTAATATAATTTACCAGAGGGAGACTGTACAAAAGTCGTTTGCTTGGGCACCTCTGTCCCATTCGTGTTTCAGACGTGAAGCAGTGGTGTTTGCATGGCTGGTTCGGTTTGAAGGGTGGGATATGGCAGTGAATTTACAGGGTACAAAGGAATAACAACTGAGTCCTCAGGAATAACAACGCAAAGGGAGTATCATGGGCAAAACAGTATACTCTGTTATGTCCACGGTACTGCTCATGTCTATAGGCAACGGTTATCACTTTCCATCAAGTGGGCCGTCAGTTTGTTCGCCATTCTAAGTTGCATAAAACTAAACAATTTGTTTTTTATCAATTTTTTTCGTGGGTCGGATTTTGGAATGGGTAAAGTCAATTCCATCGTGATGAATTAGTCGTGTAGTCCTGAAATAGAATTGGTCACCTCTTCCTTTCCCTCGGGTCTCATATGAAGTGACTAAAGGAACTTAATGATCGAGGAATGGGCAACAATATCCCTCTTTAAACATCATCATAACGTAACTGCGATTGCGAACTCGCTTGCCAAGCATAAACTACTACTGGCAAAACCCTACGTACAGCAGTGGACAGTTGATGACAAACATAATGATGATTAGTTCATCAAACATTAACCACGATGGTTTCCAAAGCGGAATCACCGGACAACCAGTCAGAAATTAAAATTGGCTTAATTTTAATTTAAAGTTATTGGTCCAATCCTTGTATACGAGTACCTTTACATAATTAAAAATAATCTCACCAGCATGGACGAAGGCTGTGGTTAAAACCAGAAAGATAAGGAGCACCAAGTTCACTTGCATATTGTACCGCTGACTTTAATTGCAGTCTCAGAAGAATGAAAAATTTATATAGTTACGCTTCGTTTGATTGTTGGATACTTCGTTTTTTCAATTGGGTACGGACTTGGGGGTTAATAAATTATTTTTTTATATCTTCTACAACAGTGTATGTATGTATGTATGTATGTGTTGATATATATGTGTATATTTTGACGTCAACGATTGCCCGCCTTGTTTATTTTTCTATTTCTCATTTAACAATTGTCAACTACATAATCTACAGAATTTAATTTAGAAAAACCTGTTATTGGTCATACTATTTTAAAATATGTATCTATTGTATAAATTCTACTATCAAATATTTGGTAATTTTATATGTAAAGCGCTGTTGGTTTTTTTAAATAAATAAATTAATTAATTTCAACTTATAGTCCTTTTTTAGCAACACACTTATTTTCTATCTTTTATAGAATAATTAAGAGGCATTAGAAGGATAAGCAAGCTGAACTGGCAATGGGCTGATCGTATAGCTCAAAGAATTGACAACCGATAGGCAAGAAAAGTTCTTAAGTCTAGGATGTTCTGTAGTCTAGGATGATACCACTAGATCGAGTGACGACCTCAAATGTATTACAGAGTCAGTGTATGCCGATGGCTCAAGGCCGTTCCTTAGGGCAGTCTATGAAGGCTTATGATCAACAGTGGACAGATAACGGCTGATATGATGATGATAATTTGAAGGAAATAGGCCAATAGGCGGCTCACCTGGTGGTAAGTGACTACCGCCGTCCATGATCGCCCGCAACACCAACGGTATTACAGGTATGCTGCCGGCCTTTTAAAAAGGAATATGCTCTTTTCTTGAAGGTTATGTTGTCGTATCGGTTCGGAAATACTGCCGCTGGAAGTTGATTCCAAAGAGTGGTTGTGCGTGGAAGAAAGTGCCTTGTAAAACGCACGGTGGAGGATCGCCGCTAATCTAAATGGTTGGGATGAAACTTTAGTTTATGGCGGGTTGTATGGTGGTGAAAATCAGCAGCAGGTATCTATCGGAACAATTCCTCAGAGCACTCCCCATGATAAATTATAAAATGGGAGATATTCGTGACAGATATGTGTGTATGTATGTAATATTATTTAATAATGTTCTAATGATACCGCCTTTTTCAAAGTCACCGAGCTAAAACAAACATGATCAGATCAAATTTCAAATAAAAACTGGTCACTTTTTTTTAATTATTCTTTTTTACAGCATGCTTTTTATCCGGGCACGTTACGTGACCATAACAAAACAATGATCACTTCTCGACGTGTCTTACTAGCGTAACTTTCAAATTTCTCCAGCCATCTTGTCATTTCACCTTGTTTTCTGTTAATATGTGAATAAACGAGTACCTCATTAACTGACGTTTTTAAAAAAATAACCTATACTACGGGCCATTGTTGGAGTTTTAATACTGGCTGTTGACACTGAAGTTTTTTAGAACAATGTATAATTTTTAAGTTTGTTCTGTGTCAGATTTCTATAAGACATGTCTCGTATTTTTTCACTTAACTTATTATTTTATATCTCAAATACAAATATGTTTTATTACTGCATTCTGCTATTTACAACAGCCACCCCTTCCTTTCCCGTGGGTGTCGTAAGAGACGACGAAAGTGACTTAACGCTCGAGGAATGGACAGCAACGTCCCACTTAAAACATCACCAAAGCTTAACTACGGTTGCCAACCCGTCTGCCAAGCATGACAAATTTTGGCGAAGCCTCCCAATTTTATAGGCAGTTTATGGGGGAGGCCTGTATTCAATAGCGGGCAGTTAACGACTGATATGATAATTAGAAAAAAATTACTATTGTTATTAATAAATGAGATGCCCCCAAACGAAAAAGCATTAATTACAATCCCATAATTAGCTGAATACGGCCCTCCACTATCTGAATGCAATAAAACAAAGCCAACAAGTCGAAATAATGACGAACAATGGCCATAAAACGTTATCAGCTACGCACCTGCACGCGCCATCTGTCGTACAAGACTTTATAATGTTGCACTAGGAGAATTGATTATCAAAATAACAGAATAGAGATCTAAGCTGGACATTGGGCCTCGTCCAAAGAACAATGTTAGTCTAAAACACTGGTCATATGGTCCCGGCAGAAACTAAGCCACCCCTTCCTTTCCCGTGGGTATCATAAGGGCTGACTAAGGGAGGGCGAGGGATGAGCGGCAGCGTCCCTCTTGAAACATCTCTAAAGCCTGACTGTGGTTGCCAATCCGCCTGCCAATAGTGACAACTATTAGCAGCATCCTCCAAGGGGGAAGCTTATGTTCAGCAGTGGCCAGTTAAAGGCTGACATCGTGATGACGATGATGAAACACTTTTAAACCATCTCCATTCTATCCGTGTTCTTAATGCTATTCTTACTCTTCTTCTAATAATCCTATCATTTTTAAAGTACTACCTTCATTTATATCTACAAATAATATATTTCTTTGTTACATATCTAAAATAATATTGTAAAGGGGAAATGTTTGATTTTTTTTATTTGTAATGAATAGATTCAAAAATACGTAATCGATTTTTAAAATACTTTCACTATAAGACTGAGACATCCGCGAACCCCCCACAGTTTACAGATACGGGTCTCGACCATGTGCTCTTTGCCCGAGCGTACTGCTATGGCAGTACGCCATCGCGTCGTTCATTTTGACCCAGGGGACCAAGCCTGCGCTATTGAAATAGCATTAGCTGGGAAAAATAGTAGGAATATAAGAAAAATTAAAATATTGTCCAGTCATCGCGAAACCGGCTAACCAGCTAACCGCCCTGCGTAGAACCTGCTATGCGCAGAAGATCGCGCGGCGTCATGAGGGCGAGCCGTTGTCGACGCAGCTGAACGCAGACGCGCCAACTGGCTGACAAATTCCTACACCATCAGAATCTTTAAGTCGCGTGCGATGACTTCGTTCCTGACTTACCGATCTGCAACTGCGCACATTCGCAGTGCGGGGTTTTTTGGCCTACAGTGTTGGATTCTGTAATGATGAACACAGTTCGTACTATGTGGAGGAAGCATACGTAAGCCGGGAACGAATATAACCATAGGTTTTATAGATACCTACTTCTCATTCGGAACGGCAGCTCAGATTGTAAGACCGGTCATAACAAGACGCATGCGGCCTTTGCCTGGGTGATGACTCGATACAGCTGCGGCGTCATACGCTGCGGTCAGTCAATCTCAACCTCTAGGTAGCGCACTGTACCTTCCCAAGAGATGATCTTATCTCAAAGGCGAAGGTTGGCGGTAACAATTGCTGGCGGCGGATAAGGAGCACTACCGTCTTACACAAATTAATGGCGAAGCGCCATTAAACCAGCCACCCGGGAAGAAGAAAACCCAACAGTCGCTTCTTGCGTGCAGGGGCATCGGCCCGACTCGACGATATGAAAAATGCGCTCTCGTTCACCTATAGAAAGCTGCAGCTAGTAACATAGGCATTGAAAGCAATGCCCAATAAAACCGTGCTGGGGCCGGAGCGAATTGCTTTCACTCGGTGTCGTAATTGATTTTGCATAGAACAGGCAGTGTTAATGTTGATATCGTAGTATGTCAATAGTGCTCTTTGGTTGGAGAGTAAGGAATGGTTAGTAATAAAATCTAGTAGCCCCATTGCTAGCTATAGACACTATCATGTCGACCACCACGTGATTCCCTCAATACAATGGGCGAAGAGACCCTACTCCATCTTGAACTATCGTCCCGGGGAGGAAGCGGACCAGTCCCATTGCTAGCAATATACCCCGTCAGTTATTCCTCCACGTGCTCCCCACTGGAAACCTTTGTGCTAGGGGGAAAGGGATTGTTAGCAATGAGGTCTAATAGTCCCTTTCAGATCGACCTCCATGCGGCTCTGGAAACCTTTTCTCAAAAATTTTTCGTCTTCCACTGGTGCATTGTCAGTGTATACCGATGGCGCGGGCGGGGTTACCATTCCATTATCATCCATTAAAAAAACAACCTGTCATCCAGGGAGGGGAAGCGATTGTTAGTAATGCGGACCAGTCCCATTGCTAGCAATATACCATGTCAGGTCGTCATCCACGTCGTCTCTCCTGAAAACCATTGTGCTGAATCCCAAGTGTATTTTTTTTGATGGGTGAAAATGGTATGTGGTGGTAACCCCGCCTGCGCTAAAGGGATACGCTGGCGGAGCACCAATGAAGGGTGATAGATGAGAATGAAAACAGGCTAGTCAGCCCATCATGATGAATTCATCAGGAATTAACCATGATAGTTTCCAGGGGGAACCGCGAGGAGGTCGACCTGGTTGGGTATATTGCTAGTAATGGGATTCTCAGTCTCTATTACTAACAATCCCTTTCCCCCTCCCAAGTGTATTCATCACGATGGGCTAACTGACCTGCCTTTTCATTCTCATCTATCATACCTCACTGGTTCCCCGCCGGCATGTACCGTTAGCGCAAGCGGGGTTACCATTCTATTATCATCCATTAAAAAAACCTATCGTCTCTCGCCGATACCCCGCCAGCGTACACCAATAGTGCAGAATAATATAGGTGTAGTCTTTCTACAAGTATTGATTTAGTCGATCACCGCATTGCTCGCCATCGACAGGGAATTCGTCCTCACACGCTTGAACCTAAATGGTCACGTACAGTGCGGTTTCAAAAAAGTTTTCTCCCACGAACACTCAGGCTGTGGAATGAGTTCTATGCCGAGGTTTTTCCTAGAGACTACAGTATGGGTTTTCTTTTAAAAGGTTCTATTAAGCTTTCTTCAGGGTTGGCAACGCGCACGTGACACCACTAGTGTTGCAGGTGTCCATAGGCTACAGTGACCGTTTACCATCACACGGGCTGTATGCTTGTTTATCACCTCCGTGGTATAAAAAAAAACCACAATAACCTATTATATTTTAAATTCGTTACCACACGCTGATTGGTCCTCTTATCTACATTCAGATATGGTATTTCATAATTTAGTATTATATATTTGGAATAAATGAAACATATATATATAA